AACTACTATTTAGGGTTTAAGTCTGGGTGTAGCAAAGCTTCAACAACAAATGAAGACTATATTTACGATGGATTTGCGAAGCACGCAATATGGGACCTGCAGAATTCCAAAATTCTGAAATTTTTGAAAACAAGCACATACCTAGACATGGTCTTGACTGAGGCGTATTGGAACTTCCTTGAACTAGTGGTCTTTGTCTGGATCGTTGAAACAATGCTTGCACTATGGGTATTGAGGCCCCATATATAGGACCCCACCCTACCCACATTTCGTGGGATGTGACAAAAGTGATCTTCCTTGACATCGAGGCTTGCTGTCACCTCATGCCCAAGATATATCGGACCCCCCACTGCGGATGAAGCTCTGAACCCTAAAAACCTAAATCCATGGCAGACCCCAGACACGGAACCTCCTCTGGGTAGCGGAGGAGGTGCGGCGCTGACGAAGTACGACGGAGCCTGGCGCAGAATAACTGTCAACTTTTAGCCCTAAGGTCTAGGGTTTAGGTCAGGAGAACCCCCCACCCTGCAATAGTGGTATAATAGGAATATAAGAGGACCCTAATATCATCCTTATTATCCCCTATAGTCACTATTACTGGGGTGGGGGGTCCACCTGAGGTTTAGGGTTCATTCCTGGTAGCATCCCTAAGCCCTGTATTATACTCCCTAGCTAGTCAACATGTAACCCTACACAAGTCTGTATAAACCCTTTATTGCGCCAAAATAACCGCAGCGTAATCCCTATCTAGCCCCTACTGCCCAAAAAACCCTATCCCCTTCTAACAGGGCAGGACAGAAAAAACCCTAAACCCCAAACACTACACTTTAAACCCTACACCCTAAACCCTAATTACACCCTAAACCCTATACCCTAAGCCCTGAACCCGAAACCCTAGCCTCGCTGTAGCCGACCGGCTCGTGCAGGCCTCGATTTGACAGGGTTTGGGGTTTAGGGTTTTGGGACTTAGGGGCTTAGGGTTGCGGGTTTAGGGGTTTAGAGTCTAGGGCGTATGGGTTTAGGGTCTAGGGTTTTAGGGTCTCGAGATTAAGATTTAGGGTTTAGGTTTACGGCTTGGGGTTTAAGGTTTAGAGCTTGTGTAGGGTTTCAGGTGTATAGATTTAGTGTTGGTGGGGTTTTGGGGTTTCAGGCGTGAAGCGGTTCCAACCCAATATCCTTACCAATGGGTCGTCGAACCCAAGCGAGGCTGACGAACTTAGACAAAGGGCCAGCAGGTGCTTGCGAACCGACGTCAGAAGTTTTGCGCTGAAGCACAACTAGGTTACCATTGCACTTGCCTACGAACCTCAGACGAAGCGGGGCCCTTAGTTGAAGAGAGGGTGTGAGGGGAGGACTTGGACGAGCTTAGACGCCGGCCCCGCGCCATTACTTCCTTTGCCTCTGCCCCTGAAATATAGCAACCAGGATTGTTTGGGTTTGCTACTGTTGTCGACACGAGAAATACTGCAGGACTAACACACTACAACCCTGAACCCCCTAAACCCTCAACCCTAAATCCTAAACCCTGAGCCATTAACCCTGAACCTAAACTCTGTACACTATCATAAATGTTCCAAGGTATAAGGTACTCACAGCCACTGGGGATGCTCCAGGCTTCTTAGGGCATCTTCCCTCCACCTACGCTAGCATCCACATAGCAGGTTTGTAACCCACAGGGTTTGTATACTGGATAACGTGGAGTCTAGGGTTAAGGGTCTTGGGTTTGTATAATGGGAAAGGACATGAAAAGTCCATATTGTTCTAGTGTCAGAGGTGACCTCCCAGTTACCTACATCTTAGTTAATGGGTTAGTAAGGGGCAAATACTACAAAGCTGCTGGCAATTGAGTTTGCGATGAAGCAAATCAGGCCGTAGGGTTTACGGCTTAAGTTTGGGGATTGCTGAGTTTCCGCGAAGCGTGACTAATTCAATTTCCAAATCCTCTACCCCATGAACAATACCGTAATACACCCCTGCATAACTGCAAAATCCAAATCCCAGAACAAAATTGCACCCGCCCCGTAAACCCTAAACCCCCGGCTAAATTGGAAAATCCGATCTGCCAAAATGCCCCAACGCCTACTGGCTCATACTAGGACTGGCTAATACTACTGGAGCAACAGATGATGCACTCTTTTCCGTTTAGGGTTTAGGGCTTAGGGGCCCGCGCTCTTGCAAGGAGGGTGGGGTGAGGGGAGGATTTCTTCATATGAAGTGGACATTGCCCTTGTCCCCAATATCGGAACTCCCCAAAAGGGAAACCTACACCCTGAACCGGTTGTGGACATCTCCATATGAGCCCTAGTCTAAACTCCCATTTATCCCCCTTAATAACCCTAAAAGTGGTCCCCTATATAACCCCCTTTAAGGAGTTTGAACCCTAAACCCTAAATCCTAAACCCTATAGAATCCCCTATATACACTCCTTTAAGGAGCCCTAAACCCTAAACCCTAAACCCAAGCCCTAAACCCTAAGCGCTTTAGACCGTGGCTCATATAGTACCCAAAGAGCTGAGCTCTGCTTCAGGGATCCCATCAATGCATGTCTTATGGGTTCCCTTACCACCTAAGGCAGGAATGTATAGGGTGTAGGGTTTAGGGGTTTAGGGTTTAGGGTTTAAGGTTTAGGGGGTTATCCAAGGCTAATGGGAATTGCCGAAAATCAACCCTAGACCCTAAACCCTGAACCCGAGCTGAAACACATACTAGACCAAGAAAGCACAAGCGCTCCTACACTCCCCGGACCAGTGAAGGTCTAGAAAGTAAGCCCCCAACGGTAGCCCATGCAACTCTTGAATAGTAGTGCCAGGTTCAGGGTTTAGAGTTTAATCTTTTCGCGCTAGAATTACAGGGCTTCCCCCCGTTATGTATATATTTCCGAACCGTATTCAACATTAGGGGTGCTTAATTTTCGGGGGAAGTGCTTATAGCGAATACGGATCGAAACCTTTAAGGGCGGCGGCACTTTCCAGATCTACCCTGGCGCCTGGGTCTGGCAACAGGTTTAAAGTTTTGGGCTTAGGGTTTAGGGCTTAGGGTTTGGGCTTTAGGGTTTAAGGTTCGGGGTGCCAACCAGAAAACCATGGCTAAAATTGCTATTGCCATGCTCCTTCGCCTTTTCAAGCATAGGTAGGCATGCTACGAAGCTCTAGTGTGGTATATAGCAGGATAGTAATACAGATAGCATATTATCTGGTTCTGCCTTACCCAGAGAAATCGGCGGCAAAGCTTGGACGGCGACCCCAGGAGTCTCTCCGCGGAGGAGGTGGCGGTGGGCAAACTGCCTTGTGCCGAAAGTCCATGGCCTCATCGACTGATGTAACTGCATGGAGACAAACTGATTTCAATAGGGTTTGCCGGTCATGCGAAACTGCACCAATACCAGGACATTACTCTGGTAGGTGTAAGGGAAAACAGCGGGGATTTCTGCAGCATTGCACGGCCTTCCGCGAATTTGACACAAGTTAATAACCCTAAGCGCTAACCCTTAAACCCTACAGTAAAGCCTGGTCCCCCGAAAAGGACCCATGACTTTGTTGAGACACTCCTCTACGCTAGCTGGGTCCACCCGGCGGTTTCGGGTGTAGGTTGGGGGCGACCACGAAGGATAAGGGTAAATAAATGAAAAAACATACAGTCAACAAATATTCCCTAAACCCGTAAAAAGGGGCCAACAAACTCGAAAGAGAACACTGTCGCCACTAAATCCTACCCCATGAATCGAATCCCCCATATTCAGGATCCTGTGCCTCACCTGTAGGTAAACTGAGTCTAGGGTTCAGGGTAGCCATAAGTTAAACCAAACCCAGATTTCCTTGCTGCCGCCTTCCTAAGTGCGAAGAAAATGAAAGATGCTAATTCCCGAAGTCGACCTACGCCCGTTGCCGTACCAGTTGCTGGCAATCATCCGCGTACCATCACACGCTGGAATCACATATGCTGGAGTCTGCTGGCACGACTGGGTTCTGACAGAGCTGGTAACTCTATACCCTCAACCCTAAACCCGGCAAAGGCGTGCAAATGTTGCATCCTTGCTGTTGATTCTGGCTCAGGGTGGGCGCTTGTAGGTCTGGAAGGCGTATAAGGTTAGCGAGCAGTGCAACATGTTGACTCCATGATTTGCCAGGCTGCACGCTGAGCAAGGCAAATTGCAGCGGCATGTCAGGTGCTTCAACCCTATGCAGGAACAAGTTCATCATTCAGGAGAGCCATACACCAGCATTATTTGACTGGAAATTCACAGCTTCGGACGCAACCTCAAGGACGCGCAAGCACACAAATACACAACTGCTGGCCATCGCATGCTGGCCATCAAGTGGCTCTGGGTCCAAAGTCTGTGACGTTTAGGGTTTAGGGCCAGCCCTGCCAGAAGCCCTTGTTGTAGCGCGGAGCGTCTTGTGAAGAACTGTCGGGCAAAGGGACAGTTTCAGGCCAGACTACTGCAGTCTGCAACAAACCATCGCAGAACAACGGCCTTGCTGTTCAGACCGTAGCTGCACGCACACACCCACAGCGAAACCCAGAAAGCAGTATGCTGCAGCACAGTAGCGAACAGACTTGCACCATTCCGATCATTGCTGGTTGCCTGCTCAATTCGCGCAATCACACAATGCGCGGCCCTGCAAGCAATCGGTCCTGTGTAAACCATGTGGTCACTGCTGGAGAAACCCGAAGCCTTGAGCCCAACCCAGGGAACTAAATAGCCCAATGCAGGTGACAATTAAAGACTTTAGGGCCCAATTTAGGTCTTGTTTGTATACACGGATCCCTATATAACCCCCATACAACTCCTGTTTCCATTTAATTTTCCATTTGATTCTCGTTCATTGCTATTTGGGGCCCTCCAGTCCCTAGGGCAAAACCCTAAACCCTGAACCCTGACGTTTACACTCCCCTAAACTAACATGGAAACCCATATAGTACCCTTTTAGAAGGACTGTAGTCTTTATGGTGCCGTTTTTGGGTTTCCCTGTTAGTTTGCGGGAGTGTACTTGTTTTTCTCAGCGCTTCCACCTCCTCGGCTTGCTGGTGGAATCTGAAGGCGCAGCGGCCGCCGGCTGTGCTGCGTAGCCTACAGAGGGTAACCCCAAAGGGCCCATGTCAATGTAGGGATATGGTATATACTTAGGGCCCAAAGGATTTCCCAGGTTTCCCATGTAGCTATTTTTGCGCCCAAGTATATACTATATACCGCCTCCAAAGGGTTTACAGCAGCCACCTGAGGGTTCAAACGGCTAGAATTTTAGGAGCTCTGTGGCTCTGTAGGGGTGGAAAGGGCTGGAACGTACTGGATGATTAGAAAAGCGTGGTGGGGACACATGATATTACGGCTACGCAAAGATTATAGGTGCCATATGGAGTAGTTTAGGATTTAGGGCCATCTTACTTAGAATAACACTAATTAAACATGAAATCGAAGAGTTTATGTAGGAATGTAGGTGCTTAAGAAAGTGTATTGAGCTTTAAACGATCCGGTAACATAGGTTGGGGCACATGATGCTGTAGTTACATTAGGGGTAGAAGGCCGTTTACAGCAGTGCACAGCCCAGGCACTTTCACCGCCCAAAACAAATCCTGAACACACAACGCCCCCGACAGAGATTCATCGACTTGACCCACCTGCTCCTCCTGTAAGGGCAGTCGGGACATCAACCTCGGATGATTTGGGTTATGGGGTTCAGAGTTATCGGATTTATGGTTCTAGGGTTTAGATTATAGGGTTCAGCGTTTTAGTTTCTGAGGCTTAGTAGGGAATAAAGGAATCTATTAAATAGGGATTTATTCCCCTATTCCCTACTAAACATCAGTAAGTATAGGGCCCTTAAAACCCTAAGACGTCATGGTCAAAGGGTTAATAGGGAATAAGGGAATAAAGTATGTAGACATTAGATGGGGATTGTATTCCCCCAGTCCCTACTAACCCCCAATAGGTTGGTTTCCAGACAGAACTGCGTACAATATTGCACACAGGCGTGCGACCGCCTTTTTCAGATCATAGTGTTCACGGGTTTAGGGTTGAAGGGTTCAGGGTTTTAAGGGTTAAAAGGTGGGTTTAAGGGTTTAGGGGCATACGTGCAGCTTTGGGACTTCGCATGTATCCGCAGCCTTGAGAGCCGATCGTGCGAGGATGTCACCTGATCGAAGAAAGCAAGTTCCTAGACCCCCCACGTACCCTCTATAAGGGTCTATGTAGGTCCCGATATTTAGGGTCTATACTATAGACCCTAGATATCTACAAATAGGACCTACATAGACCCTATTTTGGAGTACTTGGGGGGTCTAGGTCGCGCAGAGACTTTTACTTGGCCTGCTTCTAAACCTTAAGTGTGGGCTCAGAGATCAAAAGAAATAACGTAGGATAAGAAAACCAGGCATCAAGAATTCCCAAGAATTGTGGACCAACAATCCTACATGCTACAGTATCGTCTGAGAGTCTCCCATCCTACATAAGCTGAACCGGAATAGCAGCTGCTTCGGAACTTGACTTCCTTTTCGATCGTTTCCACACTTTCTTATGACAGCCGACCGCAAATTACAACAACACACGCACATCACTTGAATATTCGGGAACTCGGTTTTGTTGCATTGAAAGCCATGTCTGTTACTTGCCATATGCCCAAGCTGTGGGAACAATCTCAATGTCATTGAATTTCCCGTGTCTTCTTGAATTGATCCTTCAGTGCAGCAACTGCGCCCTAAACCCTATATAGCCCCAATACTAAACCCTAAGCAACCCCTTCAAGCGGAACCCAGCCTAAACCCTCCACGATAACCTAGCCTGGGGTCTTTAAAAGGGACCCAAGTCTTCAATTGGCGTTAAGGGTTGTTTTGCAACGTACTTCCTTACCCTTGGTATTGGGCTTATATTGGGATAGTGGAAAAAGAAAATGGAAACTACCATGGTAATAGGGATCATATAGGGATAGCGAAAAAGAAAATGGAAACTACCATGGTATACAGGGATTATATATCTGAAGGACCCAAATGGCTTGGGTCGAGACATTTAGCTCGGGGGATCCCTAGGCGGTCAATGCTCCCTTCACCCTAAACCCTTTAGGGTTTAGGGTTTGGGTTTAGGGTTTAGGGTTAAACCTTCTATTTCCATCATTCCCTGCTGACCAGTGGTATGCAACCCAGCCATGACCCTAAGCCCTCAACCCTGAACCCCAACCCCAGCACCACAGTTCAGGGTTTAGGGTTTAGGGTACCCCTAAACCTTAGACGTAATGCCAAGGCACCGAAATGAAAACCCAAGTCCCGCTTCTCTGTTCGCATGCCGGGAGGGTATTTGCTGAGTGGCAGGTCGTCCTCCTGAATAGTAACTTTAGGGCTTAGGGTTTAGGGATTAAGGTTCAGGGCGTGGAGCTTGGGGTTTAGGCTAGAGGGTTTAGGTTTAAGGCTTAGGGCTCAGGGTTTCTTTGAGTATAGAGGGCTTAGCGATTTAGAGTTTAGGGTTTAGGTAGAGGTTAGAGGGTTTAGGGTTTAGATGCCCAGATACCCTCCAAGCCCTTATAGTTCATATCAGGGGGTGGGGCTGTTTATTAATGTTAGTATATGAAAAGGTGAATAGCCGTAGAGATAGCAATAGCAATAGGGATCCAGGGTGGGTTGCGCGGCCCTGTAGACATTCATGTTCTTCCTGGCTTCATAGGGATTCTGCGAGGATTAACGGACATGAAGACTGAAAACTATTTGCAGACCTAGCCGCAAACAGTGAAAGATGCATGAAACTAAACCAAAACGAACAGCAATAGCAAGAATAATGCTGATAATGGCTCTTAATTAGCGATCGCAATTTTCAATGACAAGAACGGCCGGACCCCTGAACCAACGACCTTAGGTCAAGGTTTAGAGCGCATGAGCATAAGCTAGCATGGCCCAGTTCTCCCTAAGCCCCTAAAAACCCTAAACCCCTAAAACCCTGAACCCGAAGCCCTAAAACCCCTAAAACCCTAAGCCCTAAACCCCTAAACCCTAAACCCCTAAAAAAATCCCTAAACCCTAACCCTAAACCCTATAACCTGAACCCTTTAACCCTAAACCCACCAAGGCAAGAATTGCAGCGACAGAAGGGTCACAGGCAGCAGGGCTTTAGGGTTTAGACTGCCCGATATAAGCCATAGTCTAAAAGTTAGGTTTAGGGTTTAGGGACCTGGTAACCCCCCCTAATAATCCTTTCCCCCAAAAATCCACCCCTGCTATTAAAAAAATAAATTCGGAGGCCTAAAAATCCAGAAGACTATTTGTAAAAGGGGAAGACTACTTTTAAAAGGGGCCACCTAATAATGAATTAGGGGAGGTTCTGAGGTCATCGGGGGGTATAGTAAGGAATACAAAGGAATTAGGGATCCCCTTCATTCCCTAGGTTTTGATTGTTTTCCATATGGTTTTAATAAAGGAGTTTACATACAAGAACTGAAGGCGATTTTAATTCACTTTACCACAATTTGCGCCGTGCTTAGATAAATCTCACTTGAGTTTAGTTCGATTTCAATTGATGTAACACGGATTTTAAATTCGATTTCAATTCATTTTAAAAGGGAATTCAATTGGATTCCAATTGATTGTAAAAGGAATTTGTAATTACGTTTCAATTGCTTTTAAAGGAAATCTTTAAAAAACTTCAATTGATTTTACGTGAAGTTTTAAATTAGAATTCAATTGACTTAAACGGGATTTTAATTAGAATTCAACTGATTCTAACGGGAGTTGATTTCGAATTCATTTGGCTTTAAAAATACTCTTAATTTAATTTGAATTGATCTTAAAGGTATTTTAATTCGATTTCAAGAGATGGCATTAACTAATTCAATTTCATTAAATTATTTATTCATTTTCTATGGAATTTAAACGGAGTGTAAAGGTAGCCCTATCTAATGCCCTCAATAAGTATCCACCCTAATATTAAATAATTTCTCGGGGCCCGGAATATGTAATATAGGGGGGGGAATATTAGGGGTCGGGTGGAAGGGGCGTCGTTTGATATTAGGGGGAGGGGATTAGTCTAAACTCCAAGTATCCCACCTCATAAACCCCTTTAGGGAGAAGCAACAACTGATTTCACCCAGGCGCCGTGTCTCGCAGCAGATGCATGACTTCCGCCGTAGTGCCTTTACCTCACGAATGGCTGCCTATCTCTCCTACAGCCTCTTCGCGACTGCCAATACACACTTGAGGATAAAGAAAATCAAAGCAATGACTAAACATTGAACATATCCTTTGGTACCCCTAAATATTAGGTGCCGTAAATATAATCCATAACCAAAAGGGACCCATAATTTTGCGAACCACTCATGTCAAGCTACTGCTTTTTTAGGGGTGGGGGCAGCTAAGGTGAATGACTTGCAGCCTTTGTTGGGCGGCCAGGATACAAACAGTAAAAACAAGATACAGGCTTTTGGGATGCACCAGGGCTTAGGGTTTGGGATACAGGGTTTAAGGTTTATAGGGTTTATACGGCTTGTAGGGTTTATAGGGTTTGGGGTCTAGGATTTTGGGCTTATAGGGCTTAGGCCCCAAAGATCCAGAGAGTCAAGAGACTGCACAGCTGGTTTTTTTGCAGCGAAACAGCTGGAAGTGAGGCCTTTAACTCGCTAATGAAAAGCAGGAGGCTTTCGGGGGCAGCCAAACTATTGAAAAATGTGGCCATTGATGGCTTATTAGTCTTGCCGAATCATGTTTCGGAGTAAGGCAAATCGTTTTTTAAACAAAGTGGTTGGGAGTTTTGAGGGGCAGCCGCGCATTTGCAACCATCGCAACATATGGCAACAGGTGAAGGTTCCTGAGAAATCTCAGGCGGCCAGGTCGGAAATAAATGCGCTCATAGAGGGTGGGGGGGGTTGGAAGGGATCAACCTGCCGCGCTTGCAAACTTTCAGTCAACTGGACTGGACTGGAGTCGACGCTATGCTCCGGGATAGTTATGCCGATGAGCTGTGGATTAGTAGTGGTTTAGGGATTTGGGTTCAGGGTTCCAAATATGAAATACCCAAACTGGAATTCAATAGAAGTCATCCAGGGTCATGCTGGTAGAGAGGCCGCTCCGGAAACAGAGGCGGAGTGGGGATTAGGAGGGCACCTGGCCGATTTGATGATCTCTTGGAATTCATGCTAGATCCTGTTGGAACTGAAGGCAAATTACAACATGAAGCTCTTCAAAGGTTGTCCGCATGACCGTCATTTGCAGCATCTGCAGGTGCAAGTTCCAGCGACTTCCGCGAATTTAAGCTTAGAGCTGAAAAAAACTAGGGTAAGGGAACTATCATGAGGGTCATATGGTTTGAGAACCCTAAACCCTAAATGGAATTTGATAAGGACATGCCAGGCTTCGAAATCCCCATCATATAGCGAGTGATACTGTTGCAGGCCCTCAGAAATCTTCACGAGCAGGTTTCATTCAAACTGTCAGAGAAGTCCTAAACCAGTTTATCTGACAGAATCTAAGCTCTTGGACCTTGTTCTGAGGCGCCCATCAACCCCTAAATCTTGTTATCCTTATTTCGGGTTTCGGGTTTAGGGTTTAATAACAGCTGCCTCGCGCCAAACTTTTTGGAAGCTTTAAGCCATACGTATACACGTAAATATGTCTGTATATTCGTTTATATCCCACCCATAGCCGCTTAGAAGGGACCCCCCAAAGTAGACAACGCAAATCAAAACTGAGGTCCCGACTCTCGTCTCGCCAGCCCTTTTGGCCGAACTCGGCAAGGCCTCTCCCAGCTGGTAACCCTAAACCTTTAACTCCTAAACCCTAAACCCTTAAACCCTAAATACCCTAAACCCCTAAACACTATGTACCCTAAGGGTTTGTTGGGGTTTAGGGTTCAGGGCTCAAGGTTCCTAATAGCCCAATGTGTTACCCGAATAACGAAGAATCAAATGGAAAAGGACATAGGGAAATTAAATGGGACATTTGGAGCTGGGAACTACTAGAATGGCGTTAGATAGGGTTTAGGGATTAGGGTTTAGGGTTTAAGTGGGAAATTTGGAGCTTGTAGGGTTGTGTAGGGATCAAACAGCCCAATGTAGGCAAGATAATGGAAAAGAAAATGGAAACTACTACAATGGGGTTATATAGGGCTTGGGGTTTAGGGATGCAGATAGCCCAATGTAGGTAACATTTATGGACTTTAGGGCCCAATGTAGGAATTATTTGCACACTTGGATTCCTAGGGCTAGGGTTTAGAGCTCAAGGGCACGAAGAAATTTACGGTGGCAGGCTCAAGGAACATGGTATTCACTGAAAATTCAGCTACAAGGGAATGATTGAGACTTCTACGCCGGCCAAGTTCAGGCTCCAAAGCCAGCAGGTGCCAGGTGCCCCAGCAAGTCATGCAATGCCTATGGCCTATGACTTGAAACATTGGGCCCGTCATCAATGGGAGGGGTTTGTTGCTCTGACCACTGTTATATGGACTCAACGAAAGAGATTTTGGGGGCCTGCAAGCATGTGCCAGGCCCGGTCGACGACCACAAGTCCGCGGTGGTAAACAACTTCAAACACCACTCCGATGATATCAATTGTTGCTAGGCCCATTTAATTCCTGTACAACTCTTATTTGGGAGTCTGTCTGAATCCTTCTTCCGGCGCTGGAAGATGCCATTCTTGGGACGCGCGAACCCAAATCTAAACACCGGTGCCTTCACTAACTTAGGCACACGCCCCTAACAACCTCCATTTTGATTCGAAAAATTGGAGGTCTTGCCGCAGAATCTGGTCAAGCATGGGGATAGTCGCGATTCTAACGGTCTTGAAAGCATGGATTCTGCTGAAAATATCCGTACAGAACCCGTTGGCGTTGCTAAGGCTCATGCACATCCACCACCCTAAACCCTAAACCCTTAACTAATTGCCTGCAAAGCCAGGACTTGCTGTTCGCCATGCCGCTGGTAGCATTGCTTCGAGGATCCTTTCAAATTTTGGTTGCTCTTCAATCCGCCGTAAAAAGTTCGACATTTAGCTCCCTGAATAAGAGATAGAAGAGCCCCAACGGTTATAGCGCTCAACTTTTAATTAATCCACTACACTTAATGTTTGAAGCCCCCACCCACTAATGTGACTTCCAGTATATTATGAGATACCACAACGTGAATGTTTACTTTGGGGGCCGGGCGTGCTAATCTTCGGGGGAAGGTAATCGCAAAGCCTCACCTAGAAGATGAAAGAGTGCGGGTCAGGGTTTAGGAGTTATATTCCCCCTTAAATACATAGAATATGGAGTATATGGGGATCTTGTTATAATATACCCAAAGCCATAGTCTATCTACTTAAGATTTAGGACTTACCCCTAAAGACTTCTAAAGAAGCATCCCCCCTTACCTCTCTAGACGGGGTTGCTGTTAAGGAACTTAAATTAAGTTACTATATTGGGGAAACCCTATTATTTACTATATATACCCATTATGGNAACTTAAATTAAGTTCCTTAACAGCAAGCCAGTAGAATGCCTGCATGTTCCGACCTTCCCTAGCATCTCCATAGAGTCTCCCGGGAAAGGCTTTGACCTTTGAGCTTAGATTTTTTGCTTGAAAGTTGGGACTAAGGTCTCCAGCCAATGCTTTGGGATTTTGGGCTTAGACTTGTTGTTTGAATTTTGGGATCTTCCTCCTGTTCCCCCCCCCACCCCCCCACATCCTCCCCCCTCCAGGACTTCAGGATACGGTTTGCAAGCAGCCCCATGGAGGGACCCAGGATCTTGCGAGCCCCATGGGCGACGAGGAGGAACAAATTCTGTTTAGGTTTTAGGGTCCAGGGTTTAGGGTTTAGGGTCTAAACCTTAAACCCTAAACCCCCCCCCAAAGCACCCACCGATGACCTTGGGAGCTGGAGTCCGCCTGATGGGATTATATAGGGGCTATATAGGGAATAGTGGAAAAAGTGGAGATTGCAAGTTTAGGGTTGAAGAGTTTATAGGGGTTATATAGGGGTTATGTAAGGGTTATATAAGGGGGCTATATAGGGAATAATTGAAAAGAGCATGGAAACTACTATGGGGTTATTTAAGGGCTGAGGGTTTAGGGTTAGGGAAGGGGGGTTGGCATCCCATTGGAGGAAAGACATTTCTAACTCTGCCGCCATGCTGCCGACTCTAACCGGATATTAGGCGCCTGTCACAATGACGAAATATATATCTTAACCCTTCATGTAATTCCTGCTTGCGGGTTAGTGTGCTATGTGGGGTAGCATGTGTATTCAGACTTCGCTACAATAGCCTCTGCAAGTAGAAAATCAAAGCACCTCAGTAAATATCATGCTTGCATCTGTGTGCGTCATATAGGCGGGTCTCAATAGAATACACAAAGCAGGCAATGTGGAGGTAAGAACCCTGTACATAGAGAGGAGCGGTGAATTTTCAGGAAGAACCGGTGAAGGACATCGACAGAACTTATAGTCCCCCTTAAGGGTATATTAGAATAAGATCCCCATGTACCCCATATTCTATCTACTAAGGGGGACGAGACCTTTTTTAGTTGCAAACGTGTGGGGAAGCTGCAGTGTGTTGTGTTCTTAGATAAACACAACATCGGCTTTTTAGGGGTTGTACAGGGTTATAGGGGTATATAGGAGTTGTACGGGTTAAATAGGGTTATAGGCGTGATTTAGGGTTATAGGGGTTATAGAGGGTTATAGGGGTGATATAAGGTTATAGGCGTTATATAGGGTTTAGGGGTTATAAAGCATCATGGCCACAAAGGTAGGCTCCAACTCATTGGAAGAATCATCGATTTGGCTGTTTGATAGGAGCGGCCTGAGTTTCCGTAAGCCGCAACATCATCGGTTTAGGATTTAGGGCTTATGAGGGTTTTGGGTTGAGGATTTGGGATCTATAAGGGTTGAGGGTTTAGGATTTAGGGGGCTATAAGGATTTAGGGTTTCGGATTTAGGGGGCTATAAGGGTTTAGGATCTAGAATTTAGGGTTTCAGGGTCCCACACACGGCTTTCCTGCTTTTATGAGACCTTTCCTCCACAGCCCCAAGGTCTATGGACATGTTTTGCCACACGGGTCCTTGCGGTTTAGGGTTTAGGGCCACGTACGCTGGTTACCAACGCCATGGCTGTATAAAATTCCCCCATTTCCCCTAGGATCCCCAGTAACCTAGCACTAGCAAGGTCACCCTTTTTGACTATAGCTTATCTTAAAATGAACTTAGGCCCCCAGAAAGGCAAAAGGGGTTTACTCAATACCCCTGTCCCGTCCTTCCCAATGGCCGATCTCCATCCAAGCCTAGGACTCGAACTATCACTGCGGCAGCCAGGACACCTCCAGCCACCCATGGGGCCCAGTACTCTTTGACTAAGGAATATGGGGTCTTCCCAAACTTAGGGGTACTTATTTGGAGGTTCCCAGAATCAGGACTTATAGCATTTTGGTGTCATGTTGGGGTATCCCTATTCCGGGAAGCTCCCGAATACACCCTGAGTCATGTAAGGATCCTTGGCTCATTTAGGGTATAGTCCGTAGGTGAAAGGGTACTGTCAGGGTAGGGCGGTATCGTTCGATTGCACACTTTGATTCGTTGGTGTTGCTGGGTTGTGGCGAGGTGTGGTATAATTTTGGCTTTTGGAAGGTCACCCAAAACCCGAGTTGGCCTCTAAGCCGCCCATGTGGCAGTCATGGCCCATGCAATGCGCGGTGCAGGGTTAAGGAATTAGGGCATGTAGTTCCCATTCATAGAAACGGAGCAAGGGAATAACAACTATCGACCCGATGCTTTCAACAAACTGTGAAGGCCACTAGCCTGATGAAGCAAAACAGCACCCCACTCAGATTCTTGCACCCCCAGACCCTATAAAACCTAGACCATTAAACCATCCCCAAATTCCAAAGGTGTGCAGGGAACCAAATGGAGGGACCCTCTCCCCGAGCATTCTGCTTGCAGTGGAAGGCTTAGTATAAAGCAGGTTTTTCAAGAGGATAACTGCGCTTCTGATTAGGGTTGTAGGGATGAAGTTATGAGTGCACTAACTGAATCCCCTGAGCCCAGACCCCAAACCCTACACCCTAATTGTGGTAGCTTCCATTTTCTCTCATTGCCCTAAACCCTAAACCCCGAACCCTAAACCCTATACCCCAGACCCTAAACCCTAAACCCCAAACCCTAAGCCCACTGACCCTACATGCCCACAAGTCTGAGCGAGCTAGGCCTGCCATCGCAGATCCATGGCCCATGTCATCCTGACATACTTCATTGTATAGGGGATTAGGTATATATATATATATGTACATATATATATATACATATCCGTATACATATATATAGAGAGTGCGA